TTTTGTGATTTGTTGTGTACTATTGTAATGTAAAAATATCAATGAATTTTATTATTTTATTTTGTTATAACTTTTAAGCAAATTAAACAAGATTCAACAAAATCAAGTTTAATTTTGTTCATTATTATAATTTTGTCTAATTTTGAGGATATTTTTTTCTTGTAAATTAAAAAAATCATTTTACTAAACTTTGTGGGGGAAATTACAGTTTTGATACTTCAAATTAATATTTTTTTTCATTTCCGTAAATTTACCGTTAATCCATCAATTAAGGCAATGATGTTCACACGCTTGATTCCGTTAGTAGTAACGAAAAATTTACGGGAATGACTAAACGTGTTGATTATTTTAAACATGAGGGACCTATTTGTTTTTTTGTTAATATAAAGGACCAAATATGAAATTGATTCAAACTTGAGGGACTAAAATTGTATTTCCCCACAACTTTGTGTAATATTGGGCTTATTTCTTTATGACACATTTTCTTTTGGGCTTTCAAAGTGTGGAAAATAACATAACCACACTAAGCAAAAAGGCCCAAAATATTGCTTTGACCATGTATTTCCACGTGTATCAATTTTAGTTCAGGTTACCAAAAGTCAACGATAATTATTTCCAATCTTCTCCTTATTAAGACAAGCATTATAATTATGACTTGTGAGAAGTGTCGATATAGGCAGTTCTCAAATTTTTATATAAAAAATAATAATTTTATATTAGTGTAGTTTTACGATCCTTTTCAGAATTTCAAGCATATATACGAGCCAGTTTAAGCTACTGTCTGATACTATATTTAACGATCAGCTCAACTGAAAGTTTAAGTTAACATGTTATTTAATATTAACATTTTCAATATAATCATTATATTGGTGCATGCATGCCAGAGAAGAAAGAACACCGTATCAACTTTGTGTATATATTTTTGCATGAGAAACATCATCATCATCTTGTGCATCATGATGATGCAATAAAGGGGGTGGCGGCCCCCAACAACATTGTATGATGATTATCATGAATATATGCACCTAGCTATTTACCATGGCCATGATAAATTGTTTAGGTAGACAAACATTAACATTTCAATCATGGTTTTAGACAATATCCACTTTGGATTGGACCATCTAAATTCCTATATAAATCCTTAATATATTATATATATATTTATTTTGTTAATATTTATTTGACTGAGAAATTAAAGCTGACTTTGTAGATAAGACACTATGATTGCTTAATATTGCACTTTAGGGGGCTAAATCCTTTAATTCATACCACTTTGTTTTGTGGTTATCAAATTTTAAAATTTGCACAACACTTGATTTTTTTTTTTAGTTTGAAAATTGATATTATTGTGTTCACAAGCAAAGACAAAGTGCACGCATGGTATGATTGGGTTTGATTACTTTAGAAGTTTGATTCTAAATAATTAAACCATGGCATGTGGTTTTATAATTACAAAAATGGCCTTTTTCATTTCAAAAAAGCAAAACATTGTCCCCTCTCATAAAGCAAATTCGATTTTTCTTTTTCTTTTTTATTTACTTAAATAAGCACGCAGTGTAAATAATCAGGTGTGTGTTGCATTTCTTTAATAAAAAATAAATTAATTACTCAATAATTTAAAATTTTATTTCTCAAAGAAAATGACAAATATAGTTAATTAGACACTAATATTAACATTACATATTTATTGCACTGCAACATTTTTGACAAAAAAAAAAAGTAAAAAAATTTCAGTCTTTGTATTGGAGAATGGAAACACAACTCACCCCCACCCCCACCCCCACCCCCCAACCCTCATCCTCTTTTCTTCAATTCTCATTATAAATTATTATATAAATATTATTGCATGTCTTGGTCACAACCCCATATATTTATACCCCCACCCCCACATGGGGGGCCAAACTCTAAACATATATAATTTCTACATGTTATTACTTGTTACATCTTATTCATACATTATATATATATATATATATATATATATATATATATATATATATATATATATATATATATCTGAAAATATATACACACAAACTATAGACCAGATTTGGATCAACAGAAGAAGAGGACAACACAAACACACACACACACACAGAGACAAACAGTTGTGTTAGAAGAAAACAAGACCCACAAATTATATATATATATATATATATATATATATATATATATTTATACATATAATTCCTTAAAAATGGATATTCATTCTAGTTGGTATAATTTCAAGATCTACCCAATCATTTCATCTTTTGTCTTCTTCCTCCTCTTCTTCTTTCTCTCCTCCTTTTCTCCGGTCGTCGTATCTCTCGATTTCAACGCCACCGGTCACAATTTCCGGCCCGGAGAAAAGTCGAATTCGAAGCTTGTCACGTATGTTAAAGCCCATCTCAAGAAGATCAATAAGCCTGCTCTCAAGACAATTCAGGCAAGTTTTTTTTATTGATTAATTTTATTTCATTTCCACTAATTTAATTTTTCTTTTGTTTTAATTAATTAACTGTTTTTTGTTTATTTAATTTGTTGTACAAATTAATCACAGAGCCCTGATGGTGATATTATAGACTGTGTGTTATCTCATCAACAGCCAGCTTTTGATCATCCTCAATTAAAAGGACAAAAGCCAATGGTAAACACTTAATTTAAATAAATAAATAAATAAATAAATAATCACTATATATATAGTACAAATAATTACTTATAAAACCTAATTTTGATATAATGCATTTATATAAATATATTGTTGAATTTGAGTACAGGATCCACCGGAAAGGCCAAAAGGGTACACATTAAAAACGACGACGACGACGAAGAGAGAAGAAAATTGTCAGGTTTGGAGAATGTCGGGTGAATTTTGCCCGGAAGGTACGATTCCGATAAGAAGAACAAGCGAGGAAGATGTTTTTAGGGCAAACTCCGTCCGAAGATTCGGTCGCAAAATACCAAGAAACCCTATTAGAAGAGATTCTTCCAACACTGGCCATGAGGTATAACTATAACTATAATATCTGTCTCTGCTAATTAATAATAATTATCAACCCTAAATTAAGTAATTCTTAATTAACTATAATAATCTTAATTGTTCATCAGCATGCTGTGGGGTATGTGAGTGGAAATGAATATTATGGAGCAAAAGCTAGTATAAATGTGTGGGCCCCACGCGTTGATAATCAGTATGAATTCAGCTTGTCACAAATTTGGGTTATAGCTGGTTCTTTTGCCGCTGACCTCAACACCATTGAAGCTGGTTGGCAGGTATTTATTTATTTATTATATACATGGAAATTAATTAATTAATTTAAGGAGTTTTTAAATAATAGTGAGAAAAAATATATTTTTCATAACCTCATTAATTCATAAATTATTAAAGCAGCAATTGCAACTACCTCTCAATACTATCATACTCCATTATTTTGAATTCAATTAATATAATTTTAAATAGGTTAGCCCGGAGCTTTATGGGGACAACCGCCCTCGATTCTTCACCTACTGGACTGTAAGTTTTTTTGGTTAAATTACATCCCTGAACTTAGGTTAAATAACGAAAAACACCCCCATGTATTTGTAATTACCAAAAAGCCCCAATATTTGTTTCCGTGTTACACCTAACCCCTGAATTAATTATTAATATTGCTGATTAATTTAATTTAATTAATTGTTGCATACAGAGTGATGCGTATCAGACAACAGGGTGTTACAATTTGCTGTGCTCAGGGTTTGTTCAGACCAATAGCAGAATAGCAATTGGCGCAGCAATTTCTCCAATTTCATCCTACAATGGCGGCCAATTTGACATTAGTTTGTTAGTGTGGAAGGTAATTAATTTTTTTATTTTATTTTTCAATCATAAATTGCTTATTTCATCATTACCTATATAATACTTTTTCAATAAAAGAAAATTAAAGGCTTTATTAATTTTATTTGTTTTTTGAGAGGGAAAAAAGGGGGTGTAGGGCTAAAATTTTCATGATGCCATATGTACACCACCTAGCTAACATGCGCATGTTGCATATATCAATAATCTTTTGCTTTCTAAGATTCTTACCACTATTTTTTTCTAAGCAAAGATATCTATATTCTGACCAATCCACTTTTGTAATTTTATTTTATAATTCTAAAAGTATCATCCACGTGTGTTTTCATTTTGTCAAATTACAAAAATACCCTCTTGTTTGGGTAATTACAATCGCCCCTCAACTATACATTGTCTTACACGTCTACATTTATCGTGTCAAATTTACCTACTGAATAAGGGGTTTTTTTAAAAGAAAATTCATAATTGAGAGATGGAGTTGTAACTATTCAAACATGAAGGGGTCTTCATAAATATACAATTTTAAATTTAAATGAGTTTTAATTTGTGATAAATATAAAATTTTGACTTGGTCAAAGTTGTATGCTATTTATTATGCAGGACCCTAAGCATGGAAATTGGTGGCTAGAGTTTGGGAATGGAATACTAGTTGGTTATTGGCCATCATTTTTATTCACACATTTAAGGGATCGTGCAACTATGGTACAATTTGGGGGGGAAACTGTAAATAGCAGAACTTCAGGGGCTCACACGTCAACCCAAATGGGCAGTGGCCATTTTGCAGGACAAGGGTTCGGAAAAGCATCTTATTTCAGAAACTTACAAGTTGTTGATTGGGATAACAGTTTAATCCCTTTATCGAATCTTCGAGTTCTGGCCGATCATCCGAAGTGTTACGATATAAGAGGCGGGATTAACAGAGTTTGGGGTAATTATTTTTATTATGGAGGACCGGGAAGAAATTCGAGGTGCCCTTGATGGGGGCGGATTTTTAATTTTTTTTATTTACTTTTTGGTCCTTCAATTTTTAATTTTGGTGGTTTTAGGGTCAATTATTTGCTTTATTATTTTGATTTTTCCTTCCGTCTAACTAGTGATCATATCTCTTGATTATACAACTTCTAGGGGAATGTAAATTTGAAAATGAAAATA